TAGAATGGAGCTGAAGGTTATACACAGCTGGCTTAACTAGAATTCAATTCAAATTCTGCAGGAAAAGAATTAAACATATAAAATGCTTGATACTGGTTTGGACTAGCATTTCTATTTTTGATCGGTGTATGTGAAAGAGGGTACCAAAACAGCATGTATAAAGCTTCACAGTGGAGAAGATCCTGTTAAAATGTATTTAATTTGTTCAAGAAGAAAATAGATCAGAGATAATGAGATTGAAAGAAAAAGAAGAAACAGAATATTTTCAAACTCGGGACTTATTTTATCAATGGTTGGAGAAACAAACTAGGTATTAGTAATTTAATTTGTATTAGTGAATGATAAACTCAGACAACACGTTTGTTGAATAAGCACTGTTGAATTGTATTAAAAAATTAATAAAAACTTATATAAAAAGAAAAAGAAAACAGATCAGAGATAGATCAAGGCACAGATTCGAGTTCAGATCACCTTCCCTCGAACCTCCCTTCTTGCAATTGCTTAGATTACAACTTCTGTCAGTTCACCCAGCAGGAACAAATGCTTGCAATTTAATATTTGACCACCAGATAGAACAAAGTAAATTGTATGGGTGTGTATAGTTTTGTATAAAGACTTTATACTAATCAAAGGAAAACAGTATTTAAATTATCACTGTTTGTTCGGTAGATATTCCACACTATCTTATATACACTCTGATTATAACCGCTCCCCAGATATACATACTATATACATATTTTTATTTTATAATGAAAAGGAAATGTATTCTTTCAGATCACGAGAAGATTTCCTTTATGAAAAGTAAAAATCCACGATAAAGCCAGTTGCAGCTAGAAAAATAATTATGCATTGCAGGAAAAAGCCAATAAATAGGTTAGCTGGTTTCAGTTCTAAATTACCACAGCATCAATTAACAGAAACACTTTCAAAATAATTTACATTATTCCAAGTATAAAACACACACATACGCACATGCACACATGATTACGCAGGCTAGTTTATTACAAATTAGTGTATTCCAGTGGAGGAAAAAAACCCATTTATAGCTGTTTTCTAATGTTATTTGCTGATGAAATTCAATTTACTCACTTGCTAATTTGCAAATGACCTTGTTAAGAAAAGAAGTGAAGACTGGAAATGAAGCACAGCCATTATACTTGTATAAGAATTCAATTTAGGCAATTGCTAAACTACAGTTCATCAAGATATTCAGTCAAATATAGCATTAACAGGACCCACAAATCTTAAGTCAAAAGTAAAGGCCCAAGGCTCCAGGTGTGCAAAATCAAATTCCTTGCAACCTAACTAAAGTATGTCACAAGAAGACAAGTGAGTATATGCATATTAAGCCCACCATCAGTTAGCCTTACCCATTAATAAATGGCAACCTTAATCACTGTTTAAGGAAAATGTGAAGTCCCCCCAGCTTGCTTATTGAAAAACTAAAAAAGGGGAGTGAATAATTTAGGAGCAGCGGTTGCAAAGTAGATATTTAGATGGAGCTATCTGAAGAAGGGACCACTAAGAATACCATCTCAGTTTCTCTAAAATTACTAAAGGTATAACTGTAACAGAAGCCTAATTCAATTGAAAAAGTAGTATCAATCTTTTAATCATAGTAAGGGAATGGAGAATCTATTTATAGAATTTATAGAGTCTATAGTTGTCCAGTTATCAAGTTCCATGTCGTAATATGTAATCCAAGGAATATTACCGTCTGAAAATTTTAGCTTTCGTTGCACAACTACATTTATATAGTCTCCAATTTCCTCCAAAAATTTATTAAGTGTAGGACACTGTAAAAATATATGTTTTGAGGAAGACTGATATTGGAGCATTGGAAAATTAAATGTATGGCCTCATTCAGTCAATGAATTGAAGACCTGATTATGCTCGCTACTTATAAGTGGAGTGCCTATAGACAAGACTTTAATAATGAAATACAGGACTGTACAAAATATGGTATCTTAAAAAAAAGTTATATACATTATATATCAGTGGTGGCGAACCTATGGCACGGGTGCCAGAGGCGGCACTCAGAGCCCTCTCTGTGGGCACACGTGCCGTCGCCCCAGTTCTAGGCCTTCAGCTTGGTTTTATAAAACCTTTTCGCTTTAGGCCTCCGCCACCATGTGCAAAAAAAAAAAAAAGGTTCAATCAATTAGTCAATTTCAACTTCTTGCGGGGAAAAAAAAGTTCTTGCAAAGTTGGAATTGATTGATTGAACTGCTGTTACCACTGCAGCCACACCCACCCAATGGGCCATGCCCACCCAGCACTCGACGATGCATAAGTGGGTTTTGGGTTGCAGTTTGGCTACTCGGTCTCTAAAAGGTTCGCCATCACTGTTATATATAATGGTTATATAAGTGTATTAAAAATGAATACATACATACTGTTTATCTAATATTTACATGACAGGTATACCTTGACTTACATTGGGACCGGAATTTCTATTGTAAGTCAAGATGGTTATAAACTGAGGCCCCTAAATGACTAGCTTCAATTTTACAACTGTTTTTACAGTAATTGTTAAATGACTCACATGGTCATAAGTCCAAATTTTGCAGTCATTAAGCAAATCGTATGGTCTTAAATTATACTCTTTTTGTTCTCAATGGGCTTTTTTTTGCCGGAAACTAGAAAAAAGTAGTAAATTGTGGTCACCTGACTTAGGATGTGTCAACCAGTTGTAAACATGAGCCAGTTGCCAAGCACCCAAAATGCAGTCATGTGACCACAAGGGAGCGGTGCAACATTTCCTGCTCTAATCCCATTACTTCTACAGGTAAGATCAATATCCTTATGCTATTTGCATTTTAAAAAATCTTTTCTGCAAAAAAATGCATTTACATTTAAGCTTCTAGATCTAGAATCTATTTCAAATCTATCTCCGCCCCCATCTTTCCACTTTGCAATTATTTTAACCAAAGGGAAAAAGAGAGACAGAGAGAAAAAAATATTGTTCTTGTTTCTAGTTTGGCCCTCAGCTATATGGAAGAGCTAAAATAAAACATTGGAAGCCCTTTTTAAACTTGAATTGCAGAAAATAATTTTATTGTCCTTGAAAAAGAAAATTAATATGCAATCATACATGTGACTAGTAAGAAGTTGGTCTCATTTTGTTTAATAGTGCTTTATTTTAGGGAATCTGATATAGATATGCAGCATACATAATACTTTGAAAGGTTTTTCTTTTCTTGTGATTTTATTTAATCACTGAAAATATTCTTAGCTCCTCTTATAGTACACTCTGAGGTTTGTACTCATTCTGTCAAGAACACATTCACTAAGTAAACAAAATTAGACCATTAGATGTGGTTATTTTTGTTTAAATATGGTTTAAAAGATCACTTAAAATATAATATATGTATATAGAGAGAGATCAAATAATGGTTCAAAATGGTATTGAAAAAAAACACAGGGGATGTGCAAGACCATTTAATGAAATTCCCAGGCCCATTTCAACTTCTGAATATATCATGGAAGAAGTTTGAAAAATGGTCAATTGTCTTTGGAGGGATCATATAATTCTTTATGAAGTAGTATATATTTATTAATCTGCAACTGGACTGTACCATTAGGATAGTTACTGCCATATAACTGAACATTAGAGATTAAAACATATAATACCAGGTCCCCAATGCTCCATTTTTTCATAAAGCTGAACAGTGAGATCTGAGGAACTTTTATGCTCTCGGTGTTGTGGAACTACAACTCACAACAGTCATTGGATTATTGACAGCTTTACTTCAGCAACACTTAGAACGGGGGTCCCCAGACTCTTCAGCTCATTGACTCTTCATGAAGTTTCAGAATGTGCATTGACACCCCCAAAAATATTTATATGAAAATAATTTAATAAATATTACTTTAGCTAATAGTACATTAAATAAAACGACAACAACAATAATTAGATAGTTCCATCAACCCTTGGATTCTATATCGACCATTTTGGGGAACCCTGATTTAAAAGATCTCAGGTTTCCTCCCCCATTGTAAAAAAAATATAACAACATTTAATCATGTGCTCTTCTAGAAAGTATAATGAAGCTACAATACTATTCAATATTACCTAAATCTATAGCTTTGATTACTTTTCTTGAAATTAAGTAACAATCAGTTTAATTCAGACTATGCTCACATTATCTATACAAGCCCTACTCTTTCTGGTAGGAATTTAGAATACTGTACTTCTATTCACCCCCATCTTAACTTCTGACAATGAAACAGGCCCATCTAAAACATTTCATTCCCTGCAATGGTAGAGAAAATGGCATCCCTCTCAAGGAAAATTGCATTAAAAAAACCCCAAAGCAGTAAAGAGGGGACTATAACTGAGGACACTGTTGGAGAGGACCCTCAAGAGTTTTAATTAACCAGATGTGGGAGAATGACACGAGCCAATATTTTAATAGATTGAAGCCAATTTTATATGTATTGAAATCATCCAAGTGAGCCTTCTCAATATGTGACTTCAAAACCTAGTAATTGAATTATCAACCATGACCGTATTAAACTTCCCGGGTTCCCCAGTCAGTGTGGTCACGGCTGATAGGTTTTTGAAGTCACATATCGAGAAGGCTCATTAAGATGACCCCAAGTTCTCTATAAGAATAATGGCTTGTATAATTCCCAGGAACTCAGGAAGCTTAAATGCACCCTCTGGAGGGACCCCTAAGGGTAGCCTAAACTATCTCCTTGCTCCATGCAAAGTGGACATCACAGCATCTTTGACAGATGGCCAACTAGCTCTCGCTAAGACAGGAGAACTACAGGTAGTTCTTATAAGACAGGTTTTACTCCAAGATACAGATTTAAATTACCTTGCCTTCTGCTCCCTGCTCTGCCTTTAAAAAGTTCAGTGTTCTCTCTATTCCCCTTCTCTCTTATTCTGTTCACCACAAGATAAAAAGCTGGCTGTAACAGAAGGCACTATCTTTATAAGCCCATTGAATATAAGTTAATAATGACATGGAAACAGAAAAATGCTTGCTTACCTCTTCGGGAGCACAGGTTTGAGCATTTCTCTGAAAATGTTTTTTTGGAAGGATTGTAGGGAGGTGGGGGATTGTCATAACCGTGCCTTGGTCCAAGATGGTTCTGCTCAAGGTCTGCAAAAGCAGAGGAAGATCTTGAATGTTCAGTTGTCCCTTGCGACAACCTATGGACAGAAAGAAAGGAACAAAAACGGATGTCTTTGTGATAGACCAGCGTGGTAGGATGATCAGCAATTTCCTCTCCCTTCAACAACAGTTTTTTTATTCTTGTACCAACAGGATGGCAGCATGCCTCCCAGTCCACTACCTGACTATACTGGGAAATAAATGTTTTTTTTTCCAAATTTGGCAATGATTCCATCAAATCTTGACAGAGGGCTACTGTCATAAACTTCTCTTTCCCTGCAGAAGGACAAAAAGGTGGAAGACTACTTATGTGGGAGCTCCATGAGGAGAGAATGGATATTTACTAGAGGATGAACTTACCCACATTGTGGGGAATAAGTTCCCTACAAGAAGTCAAGCAAACTTTTTGTCCTAGGTCAGAGTTGAATCTAGGGCAGGTTTACGGGTGAAATGTGATGGTTGATTAGATATCTCTGCAAGAGGCTTCTTAAGCAGAGACAGCAGAGTGGTGGAATTGCCAACAAAGAGATGGTTCTGACTGACAGAAATTTCTTTGGAGGAAGGACAAATTGAGGAGTACCCCATTTGTGCTCTGGAAGAGCTGCTTCTCATGACATTTAGTTTCTCGTGATCAATTGTGGGTCAAGGTTTGGGCGCTAAGGGATTTACAAGGTGTCCTTAATTGCTGTGCAGCCTTCATGGATATTTGACTAGCAAAGCCTAAACTTCTTAAACACTTGATGATCTAATTACTAAGAGAGATAGTCTCAATGACATTAAAGATCAAAGACTCTTGGTGAGTGCCTTCTTTTTGAAATTAAGAAGAGGAAAAGAAATCAGCTATTTTAAAGGATTTCAATTTAAAAGCAAAAAGCTTAACGAAATGGTGATCTAAGAAAGTTTCAAGTGAACAAAGGGGACTGATTTTAAAAAACAGAAGAAATATTTTTTTTCTGACAAAACTACTTTAGAAAACAGTAAAATTAATTAGACTAGCAGACTGGACCTTTATGGCAATGTTGATGGTTTATTTTAAGGACAATAGCAATTGGTTGATTTTACAAAATAAGAACGCTAAGCTGTGAGAGGATTAACTCCAGAAAACTAATTGGGACGGAAATGTTAAAATAGAGATAAGCAAAACAGAAAAAAGCCTATCTTTTACTTTAAACTAGTACTATAATTGACATACTTTCACTTTTTCACCATGGCAACCACAAAGAAAGTTGCCAAATTGGGAAAAGGATGCAGTGGTTCTACTAGAACAACTTACAGATAAGGACATTTCACCAGATTTATTGCAGAAAATGGTTGAAGAATTTGGCAGAAATGACTGCAATAATTTTAAAAAAGGAAACGGAAGAAGGATTTGCAGGAATTAAAAAAAAAGGATCTGGAAGAAGAAGTGAAGAAAACTGAAGAATCAATAGGGCAACTGCCTGCAGACTTAAACCAAATTACTAATCAAGTAGAAACTAAGACAGACATTATAAATAGAGAGATGAAGAAGGAGTTGGGGAATTTGGCATTATTGGAACTGAGAGAAAAAGTATTTTGCTTCAGATTTACGATAATTCCACAAAAACATGGAGAAGATACCAAAGATACTGTGATGTATGTGTGTGCACATGCCTGTTTGTGTGTGTGTGTGTGTGTGTGTGTGTGTGTGTAAAATACATCTGCTGCCAAGACACACTTAACTTCCAAGCTTTTTTCCCCCACTGGAGCTTCAAGTATCTATTAGTACCAATGTATAATTTTTTCTCCCAGATCTTAATTTCCATGAAGAAGAAGATTGGGGAAGGAGCATGATAGTTACCACTCTTTTACATCTTGCAAAGACCAAAATATCCCACTCCCTAAGCTGGACAATTAAGTTTAGGAGGGGGGGGGAAACCCACCTTTTATTAATGTTTGCAAGTGTTTTTCTATTGTTTACAGCCCTGTGGGAAGAACTTTGAAAGAGAATGCTCTCCCCTTCCTTGTGTACTGCAATTTTTTCCTGAAATCGGATATGCTGTGAATAACAATTAAGCTGAGAAAAATCACTGGCACTGGGGCTAATGGAAACTCCCACTCAAGCTTAACTGAGATGTTGGGGCAGAGATTTCAAGACTCTCCTCCTGGCCTCCTACATGCAAGGCTACTCAGTTTAAAAAAGTACGACTTGGCCCATTAAACGAGGGCTTTTTTGGTGTGGGAAAACACTTTGCACATACCCAAAACAATGTGCTCTCTCCCTATTTTTCCTGACAGAATATTAAAACACTTATCAGCAATTTGATAGGAAATGTGGAAGTGAGCGTGAAAGAGAGAGCATTAAAACTCTATTCTATTCAAAGGATAATTTGTAAACTTACCTTCCACCGGATGAATTTGGTTGCCTGCTTCTTTTATCAAAATAATTGGGGTTCTCCCTAGGAATGTAGGCTCTGTCTTGATGAAATTTCCCGGAATGGGGCATCTTCTATTTTGGCTTAAGTTACCTACAAGTGGAGCTTGCTTCTGCTTCAATTTGATGAATGGCTAACATTCAGTCAACAATTTTGTTACTCGGTTAGAAACACAAAATAAGGCACAAAGGTAATCTATTAAAAAGAAAGTGACAGTAGTAGGTTTTATTACTTGCTATATAGTATAGATTAGAACATCCTTTCCCAATTCAATGCCATCCCAAAATTTTGGATAAAAGCTCCCCAAAATATATACTTGTCAGCTTGGACAATAACTATAGAATATGAGGCCAAAACATATAGAAAGTACCATGTTGGGGAACAAAATGTACAGTGAAGCAAGGAGTTGCTAAACTAAATGATTGGAATTGCTAAACTGAATGATTAGATCAATTTATAATGCTATAAATTTCAAAAATCAGAGGAATACAACAAATGGCAAAAAGTCGAAGGAATGCAACCTAAAAATGTTGCTGTTTTAAGAGATCAGCAAAATTTATGGAATACAAGTAGTCCTCAACTTATGACCACAATTGAGCCCAAAATTTCTAAGTGAAACAGTTTTAAGTGATTCTTGATTCATTTTATGACCTTTCTTGACACAGTTGTTAAGTGAATCGCATGATTGTTAAGTTAATAGCATGATTGTTAAGTGAATCTGACTACCTCATTGACTTTGCTTGTCAAAAGGTGGCATAAGGTGATCACATGACCTCAGGGCACTGCAATCACCATAAATATGAGCCAGTTGCCAAGTGTCCGAATTTTGATCACATGGCCATGGGAATACTGCAGTAGTTGTAAGCGTGAAAAACAGCCACAAGTAACTTTTTTCAATGCAATTGTAACTTCAAACAGTCACTGAATGAATAGTTCTTAAGTCAAGGATCACTTGTAGAGTAATCCTTATAACCTTGTGGGAAAAAAATCATTAAAATGTTTTAAAATTACATAGTTTATGGGAAAATTGATTATTTTACCGAGGTCTGCTGTATCTCTTCTTGGGAATGTATAACTTAATTCTCAACTCTCATCAGCCCCAGCCAATAGTCAGAGAGGATACCATTTTAGCCCAACTGTATCTGTGACACCACAAATTCCCATCTGAGATGCAGGAATCAGAAAGGACTACAGTACACTGCCTAAACCTGACTTATGATGAGAGAGACTGTATATTCTGGGAATGTGCTTGCCCTAGCCCAGGGGTCCCCAGCCCCCGGTCTGTGGAGCGGTACTGGACCACGGCATGCTAGCAACCGGTCCGCACAAACAACCAAAGCCCCATCCGTGGGATGCAGGCAGCACACAAAACCGGTCCGTGGAAAAACCTTTCTCCACAGAACTGGTCCCTGGTGGCCAAAAGGTTGGGGACCTCTGCCCTAGCCTACGGTGAGCCATTTTAATTGCATCCTATCCTTCCGCCAGGTGGTCCACAGTCACCTGACGTTCCCCAAATGGTGCTCCTCATTCAGCACTGAAGATCTGAGAGCAAAACCAGGAATTTTTTTTAAGCTTTGTTCCTAAAATCTGTCTTGAGTCTGAGATGGAGAGCAGGGCTAACAGGCAGCCAGGGATTTAACTCAGCCTTCTGCAACCTGATGATTTGCAGAAATGTTGGTTGGGCTAGAAGTCCCTTAGTTTGCCAGCTAGCATAGTCACCACTGATTAAACTGCCTAGGGCAGTGGTGGCGAACCTATGGCATGGGTGCCAGAGGCAGCATTCAGAGCCCTCTCTGTGGGCACGCGCGCCGTCGCCCCAGTCCTAGGCCTTCAGCTGGGTTTTAGAAAACCTTTTTGCTTTAGGCCTCCGCCATGTAAAAAAAAAAAAGGTTCAATCAATCAGTCAATTTCAACTTCTCGCGGGAAAAAAAAGATCTTGCAAAGTTGGAATTGATTGAACTTTTTAGTCCCACCCAGTCTGCCGTTACCACGGCAGCCACGCCCACCCAATGGGCCACACCCAGCCAATGGGCCACACCTACCCGGCACCCGACGATGCATAAGTGGTTTTTGGGTTGCAGTTTGGGCACTCTGTCTCTAAAAGATTCGCCATCACTGGCCTAGGGCGAGTAGTTCAACAGTTTCGGAGGGCACCAGGTTGATGAATACAGATAGTTCTCAACTTACGACTACAACTGAGCCCAAAATTTACCTTGCTAAGTGAGAGGTTTCTTAAGTGGGTTTTGTCCCATTTTATGACTTTTCTTGCCACATTTATGTTGAGTGAATCACTGCAGTTGTTAAATTAGTAACACGGTTGTTAAGGGAATCTGGTTTCTCCATTGACCTTGCTTGTCAGAAGGCGGTAAAAAGGTGATTACGTAACCCCGGGACCCTGCCACCGTCATAAATGTGAGTCAGTTGTAATGTAAATTACAACCATGGGGGATGCTGCAACGGTCGTAAGCGTGAAAAACAGTCATAACTCACTTTGTTCAGTGCCGTTACAACTTCAAACGGTCACTAAGCGAACTGTTATAAGTCAAGGACTACCTGTACTGATTTAAAGGGATCGTATTCCAGCAGAACAAAGCGGGATAGGTTTCTGGGACGTGAGATAGGCTGCTTACAAATCCCAGACCTTCAAAGCCAGGACCGGACCAAAGAGAGAAGCAACCTAGAACTAAGGAGAAACTTCCTGACAGTTAGAACAATTAACCAGTGGAACAACCTGCCTCCAGAAGCGGTGAATGCTCCAACACTGGAAGTTTTTAAGAAGAAACTGGACAACCATTTGTCCGAAATGGTATAGGGTTTCCTGCCTCAGCAGGAGGTTGGACTAGATGACCTCTGAGGTCCCTTCCAACTTTATTATTATTATTATTATTATTATTATTATTATTATTATTATTATTATTATTATTATTATTATTATTATTATTATTTATTATTATTATTATTACTACTACTACTTACTACTACTACTACTATTACTACTACTACTACTACTACTACTACTATTATTATTATTATTATTATTATTATTTTGTTATTATTATTATTATTAATCCAGCCTTCTTTACCACACAAATATCCAAAGTTGTATGTGTTCCCGATCCACCTTATTTTTCCCAACTCACCCCAAGAGCTGCTAAAGGGCCTCCCTTCGTTCAGCAACGCGCCGGAGCTCGCAGGAACTTTTTCAGCCTTCCTTGTCTCTTCCCAGCCGGGAGTCTCTTCCGAGGACGAAGGCCGGAGGAGCTCTGCGTTTCCTGGTTCGTGCGGCCGCAAAAGAGAAGGCGCTGCTAGGTGAAACTTCGCACGGCTACCTATAGCCCCGCCGTCGCCCAGCGCCGCCAACCTTCCGATCTCGGGAAGGGTCAAGTTTCAGTCTGCAGCGCCCGCAGTATCTGAGACGCTCAAAGCAAATAGGAGCGACCTGCCCAACCTGAAAGGGCGGAGCGCGGCGACTGGCGCGCCCGAAGGGGGACGTTTCTCCGGTGCGCAGAGGCGCAAAGAGCACCTGCTTAAGATATAAATATATATATATCTTGGCAAATACAGTTATTATGTGTTAGGACTCAGGAGTAGTCAACCTTGGCTCTTTTATGACTCGTGGACTTCAACTCCCAGAATTCCTGAGCCAGCTAAGCTGGCTCAGGAATTCTGGGAATTGAAGTCCACGAGTCATAAAAGAGCCAAGGTTGACTACCCCTGTGTTAGGTTATATATTTAAAGCAGTGTTACTCAACCTTGGCCATTATAAGACAGGTGGACTTCAAGCCCCAGAATTCCTCAGCCAGCACAGCTGACTGGGGAATTCTGGGATTTGAAGTCCATATATCTTAAATATCTATCATAAGAGAAATAACGTCTGAAAATGTCAAGGGGGTGTCGTTGGCTTTCTTTGCAGAGATGAACTCGCTCTATCTCCACTTAAGGGAGAGAATGAAGGGCTTTGTTGGTGACAAGATGGGGCAGTAATACTGGTAATGTTGCAATGTAGATTTGAATGTCTGAGGGGACGTGGTTGGAAGGCTCCTTAGGCTACCTGACTGTAGATCCTTAAGGAACTACTATTGATGGTTTGTTCTGCAGAAGGCTGGCTCAGGGTTCAAACAAAACGGCTGTATTCTCTCAGCCCTTGGATCCCGAACTAGCCCGTGCTCTGAGTTTGCACAATACAGTCAATTCAATGAAAAGATAAGCAAACGTGTTAGGTCACAAACATAAACCAAATAAGACGGATATGTTTGGCAAATACAGTTATTATGCGTTAGGTTATGTATTTAAAGCAGTGTTACTCAGTCTTGGCAACTATAAAACAGGTGGACTTCAACTTCTAGAATTCCTCAGCCAGCACATGTATATAGCCATATATCTTACAGTTGCCAAGGTTGAAAAACACTAAGACAAAGCATCTGTGTGAACATAGCCAATTTTTTATCAAGCTTGTCCACTTTAACTCAGGTTATTCCTTGAACTGAATGCTTAGATTGTTGCCCCTTCTTGTATGCATCAGATTCTACAAGGTAAATACTTTCCTGTCTTTTCCAGGAATGCAAATTTACTGTTGAAATGTACGTATATTTTATCTATATTTTTAAAAAATGTACAGAAATAAAATCAATAAAGTCATTCACTATTTGTAATTTTAAGCAACAACAGAAACCCAAAATGGTGAGTTTTGTGGAGATATTTCTTTTTATAAAGATTGTTCTACAGCTTGCATTCATAAACACAATACAGGAAACATTATTTTTCAAAGGAAATAACTGCGTTAATTATGCATTAAATTAACCATGTAAACAAATATATAAATTAAACGGTTGGTTCCTATCCAGGTGTCTTTAAACTGAAGGGAGCTGGACTTGGAATGACAGGCTTCAGTTCAACCCTAGCAAAGCTGAGAAGTTTTGGGTTTAGGGGCTTTTGCTTCCAAGGACTTAATCATCTTGGGTTTTTGATGGGCCGGCACTGCCCCAAAAAGACCCAGTATGCAAACTGAGGGTTCTCCTGGAGTTAGATTCCTGCTCAAGGAGCTGGATACTGTATGCCAGTTGCACCCCTTCTTGGGCCAGGAAGTTCTGTTCTTATGCATGTGCTGGTCATCTGAATGGATTACTGAAATGTGCTCTATATGGGGCTAACCTTGAAGAGCATCTGGAACTGAGCTGGTGCAAATGTGACCTGTGGGCAGTTACGTGTTCTTCTCAATTAGCACATATTTCACTTCAGTTCTGCAAGTTGCATTGGCTGCCATATTGGCATATTGAATGCCAATTCAAGGGGTTGGTGATGAGCTATAAAGCCCTATAGTTAAACCCCCTCCAGTGATGAAACACCTACAATTTCTGAAGGCAAGCTGTTCCCCTGGTTAATTGTTCTCACTTAGGAAGTTTCTCCTTAAGTCCAGGTTGCTTCTTTCCTTGATTAGTTTCCATCCATTGTTTCTTGTATTGCCTTCTGGTGCTTTGGAAAATAGGTTGTCCCCTTCTTCTTTGTGGCAGACCCCTTCCTCAATCTTCTTTTTTAAGCAAATGCTGCAAATTTAATCTGCTGTTAAATAGGTGATGGTTCCATGAACAGATTATTTACTATTTGTGTCCTTGTAAGAGCCACCCTAACCTGCCTCATGTATCGTGTGTCTGTTTCTGTATGTGTGTGTGTGTGTGAACATGCAGAGCAAAGCTTTTTGCCTTAGTCTGCACATACTGATGCATTAATGTAAACATATAAATCTTAATTAAACTATCTGCTGAAGTTCTCACTACTCCAAATACGGGGAAAGCATCAGAGTATTTTGAAAAAGACATAATACGGGGGGGGGGGGGNAGGGGGGGGGGGGGGGACATAATACCTTTGCCAGGTGAAAGTAATTAGGAAAAATTAGAAGGAACAGGATAATCTACCATATCAAATATAAATGTATGCTCTGGGAAAATTATAAAAGATCAACAGACATCTGCTCAAATTCAATCTGCTACTCAACCATTTTCTAAAACTGTAAATTTAATTGCTTCCTATCTCAGTGTTTCTCCTGAGAAGAAACAGATCACTAGGAGTCTGGCTATTACAGCAGCTTCTTGATTTTAAAAATGAGAGGAATAGAGCAGGTCCTTCCATTTCTCTTGGAAAAACATAACTCCAAACAGTTGCAATAAGAGAGCAGGGCAGAATAATAGATTGTACCTTCCATTAGTACAATGCCCTGCTAGAAATTACAGAAAATAGATTGCCTCTTCCAAATTGCAGATGAAATTAACTACAAACTAAGATATAAATAAGTAAATAAAACCTGAAAAGGAACATATTCATGCCCAAAAAAGTTCAAGTAATCATAGGATCATAGGGCTGGAAGGGATCTCCTAGTCGAACCCCCTGCCCAAGGCAGGAGTCCCAATCTTTTTCTTGAAAACTTCCAGAGATGGAGCACCCACAACCCCAGGAGGCAAGCTGTTCCACTGGTTGATTGTCCTCACTGTCAGGAAGTTTCTCCTTAATTCCAGGTTGTTTCTCTCTTTGATCAGTTTCCAACCATTGTTTCTCATCCTTCCCTCCCCTTAGATACTGGAACACTACTATCATGTCTCCCCTATTTCTTCTTTTCTTTAGACTAGCCAAACCCAAGTCCCGTAGCCGTTCTTCGTATGTTTTTGTCTCCAGGCCTTTGATCATCTTGGTTGCTCTTCTCTGAATTTTTTCCAAACCCTCAACATCTTTTTTTTATATGGTGACCAAAATTGGCTGCAGTATTCCAGGTGTGGTCTTACTAGGGTTTTATAAAGTGGTACTAATACTTTGCATGATCTTGATTCTATGCCTCTGTTTATACAACCCAGGATTGTATTAGCTTTTTTGGCTGCTGCTGCACACTGCTGGCTCATAGTCAAGTGATCGTCCACTAGGACTCCAAGGTCCCTCTCACAGTTACTGTTCTTAAGCCAGGTCTTGCCCAATCTGTACTTGTACCTTTGATTTTTCCTGCCTAAATTTAAGACTTTGCTTTTCTCCACACTGAAACTCATTTTGTTGGATAGGGTCCATTTTTCAAGTTTATCAAGATCTTTTTGGATCCTGAGTTTGCCTTCTGGAGTGTTAGCTACTCCTGCCAGTTTGGTGTCATCTGCAAATTTGATGAGTTCCCCTTCAATTCCCTCATCTAAGTATTGGAAGACTGCTATTAGGTCTCCCCTGAGCCTTCTCTTCATTAGGCTAAAGAAGGCTAAACTAGTTCCCTTAGCCATGATTTAGTCTTGAGACCCCTTATCATTTTTGTCGCTCTTCTTGATACTCTTTGTAAGGCCACAGTATCTTTTTTGTATCGTAGTGACCAGAACTTGACCCAGTATTCCAAAAGTGGCCTCACTAGCGCGGTACAGAGCAGTACTATGACTTCCCGTGATCTTGATGCTATCCCTTTATTGAGGGAAGGTTGCATTGGGTTTTTTTAGCAGCTGCAGCACACTGCTGTCTCATACTTAAGTGGTGGTCCACCAGGACCACCTAGATCCCTCTCACATAGCTAGAGCCCTTTCAGGTTGCCATATAGATCAGAGGTCCCCAACCTTTTGGGCACCAGGGACCGGTTCTATGGAGAAAGGTTTTTCCACGGACCAGAGAGTGCATGGTTTTGTGTGCTGCCTGCATCCTATGGATGGGGCTTTGCTTGTTTGTGAGGACCGGTTGCTGGCATGCCATGGCCCGGTACCGGTCCACGGACTGGAGGTTGGGAACCCCTGATATAGATAGAAAGGAATGACAGACCATTTTAAAATAATTTGCTCTTTTGGTCTGCTTTTAAACAGCATTATATTGCATATAAAATAATAATGAACTGGAGGAACCTGTGCGATTAGTTTTGCATCATCCTGTTGCATATCTACACTGGATACCTTTGTGGGCATTACTGGGGCAAAGGAGACACACAGAGGTGTGTCTTCTGCTGGCACCGATTGCTATGAATGTGTAAGGAAGCATAAAGACTCATCCAAAGAATTCTTAAATACTTGTATGTAAGCTCTGCTCTGCAGAAGATTTATTTGCTACTTCTGACCCTGAATAATCATTATTTTAAATTACTTTATTTACACTGTAATGAGTGTTAAAGTTCATGATGAATTATTCACACCCTGTTTCAATTTTCATGAGATTAAGAAG